GCGGAGAGGAGGTGGTCTCCAGCAAGGGGGCGTTGAGGCTCCTGCTGATGATGTTGCTGCTGATATGGCAGGTGGCATGCATGAGACGGACATGCCGTCTTACAGCCTTGGGATTTATCGCACTCCAGTGCCATCGCAGGTGACCCATCGGGTCAATTATTGATCACGGACTCGGATATTCAAGGAGTGGATTGGGGTAGATACTTCCCAGACCCGTCTACCACTGATGAGGATCGACCCGAGAATTTTATAGTGGGCGCCGACTGAGTTATGGCTCCAACATCACATGCGCAAGTATGAGTTTATTAGTATTGAATTTGAATTTGTTTTAACTGTAACTTATTTATTTTCTTTAATTTTATTAATTTCCTTTTTAAGGCTTCATGCGATGCTGCGACAGATGACTACATTCAGGATCCAGACACGATAATGATAAGACAATATAAATTGTTGTGAATTGTTATGTAGTTTTCTATACTAAGTTTCATATTATTATGTAGCCTTCTACTGGACCTGACAGCACCACCGATACATGTCATCCTGCGCCGCATCCGGCTATAAGGAGATGACTTGATGAAGATGATCCTGATAGCGCACCCGGGCAGGAGGGGATGCGCCTTAGGCCAGCGGCTGCATTGAGACACACCGGATGCGGGACACATTGATTCGGCCTTCCTTTTTTTTATTTGGTGTAAATAATATTTTTGTATACATTAACAACAATATTTAATCGAATATGCCCATTACTTTTTTTAGTTCCCCATTCGTTTGATAGTTTCATAGAACAACATAAGCACTTAAACTTAACTTTCACTTCAATTAAAATAAAATTTAGTACAACACACAAGGAAAACATTACTACAAGCACAAACACAAGCACAAACACAAATATATCAGGCCAACATAATAAAAATACATGAAATATGAAAAATACACTAAACACATACATGCCAATGTTTAGGCCCGGTTGCCATTTATTCTCCTCTCCAACCACTTAAATCGTTCTTCCAGTTGTTCTTTTTCTTCTTCTACCTCTTTCAGTTTCGCCTTCACCTCCGCAAGTTCCCGTTTATATTTTTTTTATGTTCCTTTTATGCTTCACAATTCCATTGTGTTTTCCATTTTTCTCTCCCACCTCCTTCAGTTCGCCCTCAAGTCTGCAATAATTCTATTGCTTTCTTTTTCATGTTCCCGTTGTCTTAAACACACATTATGAAGATACTGCAGTTGTTCTCTATAGCATTCCTGATAACATGGTTCATCAACTCATTCTTCAAAATCACAAATAGGTTCGCCGGGAACCTTGTAAAACTGGTTCATACAATGCCAGTAGCGGCGTCCAACTTCACCACCGTCCCAACAATTTTGCATCAAACATGGTTTTCCACACTTGCACTTTGGTGGACGAAGAGGTTGAGCCATTTGTGAAATATTTACTTTTAGTAAAAAAACCTTACTTTTAATGAAATATTTGCTTTTAGTAAATTTTGAGCACATAAAATAACTACAATGAGTTACCATATTCCGAATTCAATGGTTTTAATAAATCTCCTACCGCAGTTCGTCTTGGACCAGATCTAGAACTGTTTTCAACAGTTTGTGTAGCCATAAATCCTATTGTATTCATTGAGATCTGTTGACTTTGTATACCATTCCGTTGTAAATAAACGATCCTATCATAGATCCATTGGGGTCTTGAAATTTTATAAATATGATAAGAATGGAAACAGCAACCCTAGTCGCCATCTTTATATCTGGTTTACTTGTAAGTTTTACTGGGTACGCCTTATATACCGCTTTTGGGCAACCTTCTCAACAACTAAGAGATCCATTCGAGGAACATGGAGACTAGTTGAAGTACTGAGCCTCCCGGTATCGGGAGGCTCAGTACTTCAACTGAGATAATGAAGAATTATTTCACCTTTTTAGTTCTTTTTAGTTGGAACTTTAGGCGGTTCTCGAAAAAAGATAGCGAAAAAAATTATCCCTAGAGTCGAGACTAAGAGGAATGTATAAACCAATGCTTCCATAGATTCGATCGTGGTTTACAATTATAGCTTTCATACCTGTTTGTTTCTTTTTATTTTCTTTTTTTTGTCATCTTCCGGATAAAGAACGAACAAGAGTAAAAACGAAGTTGATTCAAATAAAGATTTCTCTGGNGTTATTTATAGGTGAGACAACACCCACATAATGTAGTGTTTAACCACGGTAAATACATAACGTACTATGTAATGGCGCTATATTTTCCGTGTTAAATATCATGATGTCGACAGGACAACTTTATGTCAGCTGGTCAGCTTTTTCAGTTCGACAAGACAACATACACATAACGTAGTGTTCAACCGCGCTAAATACATAACGTACTATTTAATAGCGCTATATTTTGGCAGAGATGCAAATGACTTATCCCAATTACTATAGACAATTTCAAAAGCTCGTTTGCGCCCGAGAAATGCCTTTCTTTTTCGTAATGGTATGGCTATGTTCCTAGTGGACTGATGTAATGCACTCTTTGATTTTATACCTTATGGTCGCTTCGAGGTGCGGAATAAGTACAAGAGAAATCAAGTCAATATCCAAGTTGAAGTGATTCCCGTTGAATGTGTCCATTTTGCATGTGTGGGTGGGAATAGATTTACCCACTTTCCACATACCTGTCTTCTTCTTGGTCGCACGCAACATCTAATTACATGGCCAAAACCACCTGCGACAAACAACCTTGTATACCATCGGACTTGACTCCCATACCTGCATCTCACGACACTCTTTTACGTTGTGCATTTTACAAGCCCTGCTTACGCGCGCTTTATCAGGAAAAAGCATCCCCTTTGCAAGCACTGCGGTCTAGACTCATCCCACATTGTTGTCCGGATTTCATCAAAATCCCTTGTGAGATCTTCCACATCCGGACGGTTGGCAAGTTATCAATGTAAGGAATCTCCCTTGAATGAAACGACACTTCGGACTCGTACACTCTTCGTCTAGGGGGGTCTCTCTTCAAATCAGGTCCTTCCTCCTCATCCTGCACATCACCATCCTCACGAGGAAAGGGTGTCTCGTCTCCGGATTCATCGGCATTGTTATCATAATCACTGTTCTGTTCCTCACTCTGTGCATCTGTCAAATCCCGATGGAATATGTCGTTTTCGAGCAATTGAGTGAGTACGGGTGGTTCAACTTGCTCGTTTTCACTGCACAACCAACAAAAATATAAGCTACTGAATTAATAAATGCTTTCCATATGGCTATATCACTTCACTTACAAGTCATAACGTGATGAAATTCCATGATGGACGTTTTCAATTAGGTGATAACTATCGGATGGGCCACTTGTAAAATTCATATCCGGCCGGTACCCCCTATTAAATATATGAGCATTAATACAAATTCAATACACCAAAAATATACATAATTAACACAAATGAAAATTGAAGTTTACCACTCGTCTTGTGAATTATGGAAAGCAGGGTATAAATTATTTTCTCGATGCTCATTCGCCGGCGGTGATAATTTTAAATCAAGGAAAACTCTTTCATCTGGAACCTGTCCGGCAAAAAATGCTCCAGAATAACCACCCGATGACTGGGGGTTATCTCTACTACGCACAACCTCGTTTTTTGGAACGTCTTCGACCTTCACGTACATCTCCAACATTGTGATTACAAGAAATTCTCGGCATTCATCCGGAGTCCTCAGAAAATCACTCAAAGTTTCATCATTGTTGATGTTAAACTCCGAGTAAAAAGCAACCCCTTGCGGAGTGACGGAATACGGATATCTTCAGGTTACTTTAAGTATCACTGAACGTTTTCTCACACTCATTTTTTTGCATAACACCGAGATATCAATTTATCGTACTCCATTGTAAGTGGCAATTTAACATGACACTGAGCAGGTAAACTGTAGCCCACTGAGTTATTCTCCATCACAACCTCACCCCCCAATATAATGAAACTTTTATTCTACGCTCTTCAAACATAATGAAAAAATGCTGGAGAATTTAACAACAATAAACGTTTCAACAAGAGTATGGAAATGGCTAGCTGGAAAATTTCTACGCTATACACCTTTTGAATGAATTTCTATACAATCCCAACCTCTTTATATAGGAAATGGCTAGCCAGATTTTTTTTTTATATATAACGCCCAAAAAGTGGGCACTATACGCTTTTGAATTATTGAAGTCAGGAATTATTGGTGGGGCCAGGAAAAAGATGTATAGCGCCCAAATACTGGACGCTATACATAAAACTTTATGTATAGCGTCCAGTATTTGGGCGCTATACCTGTTAGTGTCAGCTTTCTATGTATAGCGCCCAAATACTGGGCGCTATACATTAACGGCACAGTTAACGTTAATATATAGCGCCCAGTATGTTAGGCGCTATATATAAAAATGTCATCTTTTTTTTTTACACCTATTAAGGTGCTACTTGTCTAAAAGAACCACATTTTGGTTTCAGACTCAAGTTTTTACATCCAACATTGTCAAATACTTTTTAACATTTTCAACATTCTTTTGGCTTCCTACCATAATTTTTCAGTTGGACACGAAACTGTGCACAACTGAGTTCGTAGCCAGAAGATGTGTAGAGATTTTTTTTCTTTCAACTCGTGTTGGTCTGTATTATACTTGTAAACTCTTCTCAGTGTTTAACTCTCTAATTAAGCCACTTTCATCTCTACACGAAGGCCCTTGTCTTTTTAACCTTATAAATTAGAGTTCATACGGCACAAAATAGTCATATAATTATTTTTCTAATATTTCAAAATAGTCACTTAATTACTTCTATACTAGGAAATGGTTTCATTCAAACTCTTACACATTAGGAGAGCTTTTCGTTAAACTCCATTTATATTTAATTTTCTTTTAAGTTTAGGAGTGTTTTAGTTTATAAAATTTGGCCTAATTCACACAAACAAGTAAAGTTTCGTAGGAAAGCTCACATATTAGGAAAGTTATGACAAACTAATTTTTATAGTATACTAGGTGGGGATAGCTCGTGCCAGCACCTAGTATGTAGCTGACGCATTCTTTTATCTGTCTTTGAACAAATTTGTTATAGTACGGTAGCAAGATAAACCTGTTATGAATCCAAATAATGCTTACTAAAGCAATACCGCTATGAAGGCGCACTATAGGCCATTCCCTAATAGGTGGTCTTCTAATAGAATCATACATTTGTTAGCTGGATTGTCTTTGCATTGTATCCTCTCCATCGGACCAAAAATAGAACCGATGTCCACCTGAGTTAATTTGACAAAACAACTACAAATGGTATTTGGTGCTCAACACTCTTCTAATGAATTGCCTCCTGTATTTGGAATTTGGGGACATACTTATCAATTTTGATTCTTTCCGGTTCAAGACTTCCCTGTTTCAAATTAAATTAGCACGCCCTGCATGAAAGTCTGATAATCGGTTGGTAGCCATTCAGGTTTTCTTCCTCTACCCAAACTCACAGTACATTGCAAGATATAGGAGTTCAGATGCCAAACAAACATGTACTGGTAAGTGTGACATTGACATGCACTCACATTTAATCTCTCAGTCAAAGATCTTGTAGTCCTTTTTGGCTCTCACTCCATTAAGAAGCCACTCACTTGAATCCTGCAAACAATGGAATCATTACTAACTGATAGTATTGTATAACATAATACTTTAAAACTGCAACCCACAATGTTAATTATTTTTCTGTTTTAGCCTTTTAGTAATACTTATGGAATGTTGTCTCATTTCCTTCTAATATAAACATTGGTGATCCTAATATTATGGAACAATGTTGTTGTAGCATATAATTTAATACTTCAACAGAAGAGTTGAAAAAAATACTATAAACCTGACAGGAATGCAAGTCGTAGAAAATATTGCATTCTCACAGTTGCAATTGCTAAATGATTGTCATTTAAGCATTTAAACTAATATAACATTCAGTAGATCTAAAGATTCTATAACAATAAATAACTTTATGTTATTACTAATGTGCATAGGTAATTGTTGGTTAGACTAATTTACAAAAGTTCACTGCTACTCGAGGTGTAACCATCAGCTAGGTTGGGCGGACTCTTTAAAATTCCTGCCGCACCTATGCCGACGCGACATGGGCGTGGGATCCATATCGGATTTGGTCAGCTTACCTCGGGTACTTTAACTACAATCAATGACTGAGAAGGATGTATCGAATGGTATTTGATTTTGGGTTTATGTCATACATATATAATTATATAAAGTGTAAGAATCCTATTCTATTACGCGAAATATCTTATAAATAAAATATTGGTGTTATGAAGAATAAAGTTTATTAGTTTTAGTTCAATAACTTCACTGATTGAAATATATACTCGTAGTATACATTTATTGGCAATATCTCAGCATCCGTATCCGCGCTCGGATCCATACCCCGAATCCTAAAATTTGTAAGATGAAAAATCCGACGTCTCGATCCGCACCCGGATTGCATACTCGCACCCAAGTTCGAGGCTTCGAGCAATATAGATCATCAACAAATGGCAAAATGAAAATATTGCAAGGTCATGCACCTCAATTTCCAGAATTGAAAGTCAAAGATTAGCAGAAAGGAGAACAAAAAATCGTTACCTTTAGAAAAAAAGATATAGTACCTTTCTTAGCTAGCCTAGCGTGCTATAAACCTGGGGAGAACAAGAGCCAGATCGAACATTCCTTTCATTCTTTTATAACCCCCTCTCCTTAGTTGCTCCACTAATGAGGTATCACATGAAAGTACTCCAAAAACGTTCGTAGAAGTAGATTGTCCAGAACTACTACCCTGTAGAGCACAACTTCTTCTTCTAGAAGGAGGAGATTTTACATTTTCATACAACTGAGAATCATGATAAAGTTATCATTTTGGTCGAAGAATGGCATTGAGCAAAGCATAACCATCACCAGAGTGCAAGAGATGACTCAAAGTGTTGGTAAACTCTAGTTGAAGAGCATCACCAACAGTTGATTGTAGAAGGAACCAGTAGGTCAGAGATGACCCAAAGTAAACTCTACTTGAAGAGCATCATCAACAACAGAACCAATAACATTTCAGAATTATTTGAAGTTGGATAAGGGGAATAATTTCCAATGAAGAATTAACTAATGAATTACGTTTCATCCAAAAAGACCAAAATTCAAGGTGAATCATCTTGAGATTCTTTGATCACAACTTGTAAGACAAACCAAGATTTCCATAGAAGCTATGAAATACTCGTTTGCTCCTCAAACTTCTAGTATAGGAAAGGTCACTACCTTAGGACTTAATGATAATTTCCTCTTCAACTCAGAAGTATTAGGGAGTTTGTACTTCAGCTGGATACTTTTACAAAATAATAAGCATTCAAGTGCAGTAACAAAGCTGCTTTTATGGACTTGAAAGGAAGCGATAACAAAAGAACTTGGTAAGTTTTGAAATGACAATATATATATATATATATATATATATATATATATATATATATATATATATGATAACGGACATGTTTATTGTTCATATTCAGATCTTCCGTCATTAACAGTATCTGAAAGGAACAAAATCAATCCAAAGAAAGCATGACAATTTGCAATTTGGAAAAGCAAAGAGAACAGGCAAAAGTAAACACCCAGTTATGATCAATATTCCAGTTTCTTTAAAAAAAAATATTTTGAATAGGAGCATGATAATGCGAAGATATGCCTTTAAATTTTAAAAGGAGAACACTATAATGCTTTTGAAAATAATTACTCATAAATAAGTCGTAAATACTAAAAGTAACTATAAACTTACTGTATCCAAATCGATAAGCCCAATCTTCAAGTCCTCCTAAAAGATTTTCCGAATGAAGTCAATGAATGTCCTAAAGTCCTTGTCATACTCTTGACGATTTGAAAGTAATATGCATATGAAGTAAAATTAGATAAAAATACAACCGATCATTTCATATGCTCATACCATTTCTTATAGCAGAACGCAAAAAGATAATATGCGTGTACAATATTTGCAATTGTTTAAAAGGTGAATTTTGTTCTTCGGCCACTACTATTATGCCACTTACACTTAAAGCAAAAAGCTACTTGGGTTACTTAACTCTCACTTTACCTTGAAACAAAAAAGGATGGACAAAACCTAAATGGAGAAACATAAGAGGGTACAGCAGTAACCCAAGACAAATTTGAAACCAAAGTAAAGAGATTATGATAAAACACATAGAGAAATTAAATAAGAGGATACACAGTATAGAGATTGAAGCGGCAGAATCGCTTACGCAGCAACAGCATCCATGAGGAAGAGAATCGTTGCTTCTGGTGTGTATACACATAATCACAGAGAGACCGATCGAGAACCATCCAAGAGGACAGCGGAGTTTTCATTAGATTGTCAAAAGACCAAAATGCCCTCGGGTACGAATTTAATTCCATTAAGCAAACACGTCGAAACATTGGCTCTTCTAATCTAATCTAATCTAATCTAATCTAATCTAATCTATAGAAAAATAACGGTTCTAGGTTCTCTTTCTTTGGGGTTTTATTTTTTATTTTTTTTGTATTAGTAGTTGAATTTTGTGTACATATATTTATATAAAAATATTGAATGACCTTTTTATTTCTTTTAAACCTTTTCACTATTTATATATTGACTGATATTTTTATTTTTATGTGGTAATTTCTTCCTTTATAAATTAGGTATATAGGATTAATATTTCTCAATTTTAGGAACATACACTTTTATTTATAATAAATCAAATATAATTTTTACTATAATATTAATATGATCAATTTTTTAAGAAAACAACATGTTTGACCCAAAAACATAAATCTTAGCTCAAATAATTAATTTCAGTTGAACATAGATTAATCTTAGTTAAAAATAATTTCTTCATATCTTGATATTAGAAAGGGTGGTTGAAAGGCATTTTATGAAGACAATAATGATGCTATATAATAAATATCCTTTTACTACCAAAAACTATAGCAATATGTATGATATTCAATAAATGACAACATAATGGTATTCATGTAATTTAGAGGAATAATTTGACAAGTAAGAGATGGAACAAAAGAATCTTCCACTTGACAATGATTGAACAATAGATTCTCAAACAGTTGAAAATTCCTCGGATCTTGGATCTGCCAAGAATCTTGATGAAAAGTAAAGTCTTGTATTGAATGAAGAATAAAATCTTTTTCTAAGTATTATTCTTACAAGAATGAGTTTCACGCGCCTCTCTTCTCTCTCTTTTTTCTATTTATATGGGATTCTCTTTCCAAAAAATCCTAATAGTACAAATATAAGGAATATTCACAAGAATATTCCCTCCCCGATTCTATTATGAAAACTAGCCGTTACAGTTCTATCGCCCGTTCCCGACCATAACCCTCATGGATAACACTAACCGCGGCTCTCCTCGACTCCTTGACGTTGATCCTCATCGGTATCTTGATCGCGGATCTCCTCAACTCCTCGACCTTGATCCTCATTGGTGTCTTGACATCGTCTTTCTTAGACTCCTTGACCACGTCTAAGGTGGCTTCTAGGATTATATTAAATGATGATTTGAGTTCTCATAGTGTTATTTTGACCTGAATATCCTAAAGGTAGATTTTGACCCATACAGTTAGTTCCTCCGCTTATTGAGACCGGCCTCGGGCGGGCTTGATGAGCAGATTATGTTCATTGCGATCAAAATGATTTGGCGAGCTGATTGAGGCAAAGTGACCGACGTGGCCCTTCACAGGCCGCAAATCTTTGGCATTATACTATCCATGACTCAGGATGATGCCATGATATCATGCGTCATCATGACACACATCCCGATGCGTTGCTTCGTTTTGCGTGCGACTCCTGATTAGACCTGCCACTTCGATTTTGGTGCCAGATAATGATGGGCCGACTTTCCGATTTCGATGCTTGAATCTTTATAAATAGAGGTATAAGGGTGTGACTTCAAAGTTTACAGAATTCTCGTATCGAAACCCTATATCCTCCTCTTTCTCCCATTGCTGTGCAACCTTCTTTTCTATTCTAGCGATTCTCGCTGTTTCCAATCTTTCTTTATTCGGTGCCTCTTTCTTTTTTGTGGAAATATGTCTAATGTACCTTCTGAATCTAGTGAGGGGAGCGATGCGGTCCCTTTATCAATAGTTTTTCCTTTTTATTTTCCTCCTCATGTGGAGAACTTCTCTACCACCACCGCCGAGGATGAAGGCTTCCCAACGGTAGAGGAGATAATTCCTCATAATCCCGATATAGGTCTGACTTCTCGAAATTGCCCGAAGCTGACCCTGGAACCTATAAATTGGCAATGAAATAAGATGATTTGACAAAGCTTAGGGCTAAATACAGCATTCCTAACCATGTCGAGTTGATCTCTGCTAGGTGGGATGAGGTAAAGTTTCACCGTCCTGGATATTGCTCTTTCTATGCATACCCCTTCCATATCGGCTATACTCTTCCTATCCTTCCGTTGGCATAGGGGTTTTGTCGCTATTATGGCATTTGCCCGACTTAGCTCGCGCCGTATGTTTTCAAACTCCTGAGAATGCTTACCAAGTTCGTGGAGCTGGCCAGGGTCGAGCTCACGCTTCGCGATGTGATACACTTGTTCGCCCCCAGTTTTTATAGGGGGCGATGTTGAATCTTCGCCACCGATGAGGTAAATGTTTGGTGGTGAAAATGGACGACAAGGCTAACTGTCAATTGTGGCTTAACTACTTCATTGTGAAAGATGAGGACGTGGTGGCTGATGCCGACAGTTTTTCTGAGGCATGGAATCATACTAGTAAGTCCATGACTTCTTCATTTATGACCATCTGATTTCTTACCGTGTTTGTCCATGATTCTAACCTTCTGCCCGTTTTTGTGCATCTACACCCTCACCTTTTCCTTTGGTCGATGATATTTTTGATTGAATGGGTTGGCTTCTTCTTCTTCACATTGTGGGGATACGCGAGTGGCTGGTCTTCGTCAAAAGGTTTGTCCCCCATCCTCCACCGACTAGTAATTTATCTTTATTATCGGCTTCTTGGCTATTTCCCTTTTTTGGGTTCTCTTTGACTGATTTCTCTCTCTTATGCATTTTCTCTAACTTCAGCCAGGAGGTCTTCGAAGAGATCGAAAGCTCCCTCCCCCACGTTCAAAAAAAGGAAGAACGCAAAGGACTCTACTTCCGCTACTTCCTTGCTGGTGTCATTTTTGGCTCGTGCCCTGATCCCTCCTTCGACCGTTGCTGCCGCTGCTCGTGCCTCTCTTCTCCTCTTGGTGTGTCTCGGTCGACTCCCTCTTCGGCCTCTTCATTATATCGTCTCATAGATGAAGACGTCGAGGATTCGGCACCTGGCGACGAAGATTTGATGCCTCACAAAAGGAGGTCTGTGGATACTAGTGACGGGGTTGCTCGGGTCGCCGACATCATGGAAGGTGATTTTTCGCTGCGTAAGATGGCGACTATCGTTATTGGAGATAAGGATGAACTAGTATTAGAGATTTCAAGGTTGGAAGAGGTCGATGGAGACGCGTCTTCCCCCTCCCCCCGTGATGATTGAGACAGAAGGGCCAGTCACCTAGGTCTTAGACACTTTGCGGCAAGATAAGCCGTTGACTTAATAACCGGCTGATGATACTTCTTTGCCAACCATTGAGATTTGAGAGGGGCAAAGGTGTTGCTGAGGAAGGCTACGAGACCGGCTCAGATATTGTTACCGGCGATCTGCGAATGATGGAGGAAGGTTTTACCAAACTTGAGATAAGGTTAGAGGGGTCTACGAGGACCATCGCGATCCCTATGGATCGTGACTTGTTAAAGAACAAGGAGGACGTGGTCCCCAGCCTCAACCCCTTTTGTTCCAAGATGGAGGGCAAGACCCTTAAAGAATTGGACGACATTGCTCTGTCGAGGAGCATTGCTGGTCTCGCCCTTAGAGTGAGTTTCGGGAATTCTGTTTTCTCTTCCTTTTACCCTTGCTTTTATTTCTGACTCATTTCTTTTCTTTTTCTGGTCGCAGACGATGATATTAGAGATCGAGAGGGCAATTTTTGTGAGATTTCAAAACAAATACTTTGAGTACTGGCGCAAGCACTAGAAACTTCGTCGGCGACTTGATGAGGAGGGAGACATGCAGGCCCTTCGAAGTCCGGAACCAAAGTGTGATTCTTTTGGACTCAAACGACAAAAATAGGTGGAAAAAAAACTAACTATCATTTTATATATAGAGCGGTTATTCACCGTGCTATACCTTAACGGCACATTTGTCCGTTAAGGTATAGCGCGGTGAATAACCGCATGAGTTACTTACGGAATCTCAAATCTCTCTCGACGCCGAGAATTATTTATGTGTCCAGGTCGATTAGAGGTTCGGCTTCCTTCTCCCCCACCTTTTAGCCTTCTGGACCCCTGAAAAAAAAAAAAAGAAAGCTGAAATCAAAAAGAAAGAAGAGAAATTGGGC